GATAGATAGATAGATAGATAGATAGATAGATAGATAGATAGATAGATAGATAGATATAGATAGATAGATAGATAGATAGATAGATATAGACAGATAGATAGATAGATAGATAGACAGATAGATAGATAGATAGATAGATAGATAGATAGATAGATAGATAGATAGATAGATAGATAGATAGATAGATAGATAGATAGATAGATAGATAGATAGATAGATAGATAGATAGATAGATAGATAGATAGATAGATAGATAGATAGATAGATATATAGATAGATAGATAGATAGATAGATAGATAGATAGATAGATAGATAGATAGATAGATAGATAGATAGATAGATAGATAGATAGATAGATAGATAGATAGATAAATAGATAGATAGATAGATAGATAGATAGATAGATAGATAGATAGATGATAGATAGATAGATAGATAGATAGATAGATAGATAGATAGATAGATAGATAGATAGATAGATAGATAGATAGATTATTCAGGATTTATATAGCACCAACCAGGGGCGGACTGACAACTCATGTGGCCCCCGGGCAATAGGGGATCATGGGGCCCCTGTGTCTTTGCCCACGCTCAAAGCACACCCAAAAAAGCCTATAAAAGGTACCAAGGGCATTTCATGGGGCCCCCTACTGACCCCGGGCCCTCGGGCAGTGCCCGAGTGCTTGAATGGTCAGTCCGTCCCTGGCTCCAACAGTTTGCTCAGCACTTTACAATATAACGGGAGACGATACAGCAGCAATACAGTTCAATACAAGATGACATATATATATATTTTACAGTTTTAGAGATACATGGTAGCCAGTGTCAGGAATGCAGGAAGACTTTGTACGAAGGGTGCGGGTCCATGGCGGGTTAGTGTTAGTTAGGAATACAGGAACAGTTTGTATGAGAAAAAGGGTTTCAGAGAGGTTTATCATTAGACATACAGAATGAATTAGTTACAAGGGTTAGGATTAAAGGTGGGGTTGTACAAAAATAAATAAATTAGAATATTGTGGCTCCTATGTGATTGTGTGTTCAAACAATAAATGATGAATGAATTTAAACCCATAATACACCGGCGATAAAGATCGACAGCTGCCCCTAAAAAGTGAAATACACTTAATTATACATGAACATGACTAGGTAGGCGCTAAAAACAACAACCGTGCAACGCAATTTGACAGAATCCTCTCTCCGCATCTATTAACGAATAAGTACTAAACCAGATGTGGTATGAAAAAAGCTCAACACCATCTATCAAATTACAAACAATATACATAATATAGCATAAAGTGATCGCACAATATACGGTGACTGTCCCATGAAGATGTGTTTCTGGAAACCAAATATTTGGGCGCTCCCACCACGGGCAGACAAAATAAGTGACTTTCTCACTCACCACGGACAATTGACCCCAATTAAGGTGGTCAAATAACGCTTTGTGAAAATATGGTTTGAAGACCGGCAGCGGGCTCTCCTGGGATAACCCTCTGGCCATCAGCACATCATAGATATTGCCCCCCGGTTGGATGTTCACAAAATTCCAGGTATGGCAGTAGTGGAGGGACTCTGAATATCAGGCTCTCCTTACAATAAAGGTGATGGGGTTAGTGTCCAGGCTAGTGCCAGGGTTACAGGGTAAGTTAAAGCTAGGGATAAAGGTAGGGTTAGTGTCCAGGCTAATGCCAGGGTTACAGGGTAAGTTAGGGCTAGGGATAAAGGTAGAGATAGTGTCCAGGCTAGTGCCAGGGTTACAGGGTAAGTTAGGGCTAGGGATAAAGGTAGGGTTAGTGTCCAGGCTAGTGCCAGGGTTACAGGGTAAGTTAAAGCTAGGGATAAAGGTAGGGCTAGTGTCCAGGCTAATGCCAGGGTTACAGGGTAAGTTAGGGCTAGGGATAAAGGTAGGGATAGTGTCCAGGCTAGTGCCAGGGTTACAGGGTAAGTTAGGGCTAGGGATAAAGGTAGGGTTAGTTTCCAGGCTAGTGCCAGGGTTACAGGGTAAGTTAGGGCTAGGGATAAAGGTAGGGTAGTGTCCAGGCTAATGCCAGGGTTACAGGGTAAGTTAGGGCTAGGGATAAAGGTAGGGTTAGTGTCCAGGCTAGTGCCAGGGTTACAGGGTAAGTTAGGGGCTTAGGGATAAAGGTAGGGTTAGTGTCCAGGCTAGTGCCAGGGTTACAGGGTAAGTTAGGGCTAGGGATAAAGGTAGGGCTAGTGTCCAGGCTAGTGCCAGGGTTACAGGGTAAGTTAGGGCTAGGGATAAAGGAAGGGTTAGTTTCCAGGCTAGTGCCAGGGTTACAGGGTAAGTTAGGGCTAGGGATAAAGGTAGGGTTAGTTTCCAGGCTAGTGCCAGGGTTACAGGATAAGTTAGGGCTAGGGATAAAGGTAGGGCTAGTGTCCAGGCTAGTGCCAGGGTTACAGGATAAGTTAGGGCTAGGGATAAAGGTAGGGTTAGTGTCCAGGCTAGTGCCAGGGTTACAGGATAAGTTAGGGCTAGGGATAAAGGAAGGGTTAGTTTCCAGGCTAGTACCAGAGATGCAGGGTAAGTTAGGGCTAGGGATAAAGGTAGGGTTAGTGTCCAGGCTAGTGCCAGGGTTACAGGATAAGTTAGGGCTAGGGATAAAGGTAGGGTTAGTGTCCAGGCTAGTACCAGAGATGCAGGGTGTAAGTTAGGGCTAGGGATAAAGGTAGGGTTAGTGTCCAGGCTAGTGCCAGGGTTAGGCTAGTGCCAGGGTTACAGGGTAAGTTAAAGCTAGGGATAAAGGTAGGGTTAGTGTCCAGGCTAGTGCCAGGGTTACAGGATAAGTTAGGGCTAGGGATAAAGGAAGGGTTAGTTTCCAGGCTAGTGCCAGGGTTACAGGGTAAGTTAGGGCTAGGGATAAAGGTAGGGTTAGTGTCCAGGCTAGTACCAGAGATGCAGGGTGTAAGTTAGGGCTAGGGATAAAGGTAGGTTAGTTTCCAGGCTAGTGCCAGGGTTACAGGGTAAGTTAGGGCTAGGGATAAAGGTAGGGTTAGTGTCCAGGCTAGTGCCAGGGTTACAGGGTAAGTAAGGGCTAGGGGTAAAGGTAGGGTTAGTTTCCAGGCTAGTGCCAGGGTTACAGGGTAAGTAAGGGCTAGGGATAAAGGTAGGGTTAGTTTCCAGGCTAGTGCCAGGGTTACAGAGTAAGTTAGGGCTAGGGATAAAGGTAGGGTTAGTGTCCAGGCTAGTACCAGAGATGCAGGGTGTAAGTTAGGGCTAGGGATAAAGGTAGGGTTAGTGTCCAGGCTAGTGCCAGGGTTACAGGGTAAGTTAGGGCTAGGGATAAAGGTAGGGATAGTGTCCAGGCTAGTGCCAGGGTTACAGGGTAAGTTAGGGCTAGGGATAAAGGTAGGGATAGTGTCCAGGCTAGTGCCAGGGTTACAGGGTAAGTTAGGGCTAGGGATAAAGGTAGGGTTAGTGTCCAGGCTAGTACCAGAGATGCAGGGTGTAAGTTAGGGCTAGGGATAAAGGTAGGGTTAGTGTCCAGGCTAGTGCCAGGGTTACAGGGTAAGTTAGGGCTAGGGATAAAGGTAGGGATAGTGTCCAGGCTAGTGCCAGGGTTACAGGGTAAGTTAAAGCTAGGGATAAAGGGTAGGGTTTAGTGTCCAGGCTAATGCCAGGGTTACAGGGTAAGTTAGGGTTAGGGATAAAGGTAGGGTTAGTGTCCAGGCTAGTGCCAGGGTTACAGGGTAAGTTAGGGCTAGGGATAAAGGTAGGGTTAGTGTCCAGGCTAGTGCCAGGGTTACAGGGTAAGTTAGGGTTAAGATTACAGGTAGGGCTAGTGTTAGGGTTACAGGATGAGTTTGGGTTAGGGATACATAGAGGGTTAATGTTAGTGCCATGAGAAGATTTAGTATGAAGGTTATGGGTACAAGGAGAACATTAAGACCTTGCTCTCTGTGCCAGGAGCTCCACACCCAAAACTACCAGCTCCATTTTCCCGAGTCTGATGGCTAACCTTCCACTTTTAAGTCTGCCATAACAGAAGCACTTTAAGGGGGGCAGATAAGGCGATTTGGAATATCACCAAAGTCCTTCAAGTGAAATGAGATATTGCAGAAAAAATAGACCCACCACATCTGAGGAGCCCATTACAGCCCAAAAAAAACTCTTTTACAGACATGAAACAGATGTTTCAGGGGCTTCCAGAGCTCTCTCCTTGATACCTTCTCCCTTTTAAAGCTGATAATTATTTAATTTAACAACCTTATTTGATTAACTTCTACCCTTCCCGTATTGCTCTCGGCTCGAGGCGAGATTTTTCAAAGTCTTGGGAGGAGATCAAATATTTGTCTGTAGAGAAGAAACGGCGAGCGGGGCTGAAAAACCATATGGAACCAATGGAAGGGGGGAATGTGTGGGCCAGCGCCTCTGGGAGGAATATGGTACCTCTTACCTCTAATAGTCTCTTAATCATCCTTTAAACGCGACCTTCGAGGGGGGTGATCGGATTGTCAGCTTTGCGCAGACTCCCTACAGAGAGAACAAAAAGAAAATCCTTCTGGCTTTGAGCAAGAGAATAAAGCGGTGAGAGGCCACGAAGCCTGGTGGTGACGGAGTGACACTTTATAAGTAATGTCTGTCCTGGCATTGCTGGGAGGAATATGATGAATTGAGCTCATAAAGCCAAAATGAATGGCTGAACTTGAGAAGAGGTCTCCGCAGAGCTACTGCAAGAAAATGAGGATGTATGAAGGACTGGATTGGTCATTATAGATAATTGATGGTCGTTTCTCACCCAAAAAAAAAAAAATCTAAACAAGCTAAGATGACTCGTATTGGTGCGCGTCAAAACCATTCCTGACAACAAAAAGTGTTGAGGTGACAATGACAGTAACTGAGCAGGTAAGAGAAGATTTAGTTGGCCTCATCTTCACAAACTGCTGGTGGACTACAAGTATCAGCATGGTTAGCAGGAAATAATTGGGGTGGAAGTTTTCTGGCAGAAAGCAGGATAATGGTTGCTTACCTATGGACACAGGCAGGGACGGACTGACCATTTGGAAACTCGGGCACTGCCCGAGGGCCCGGGGTCAGTAGGGGGCCCCATGAGATGCCACTGGTACCTTTTTCATAGGCTTTTTTGAGTTTGGGCAAGGACACAGGGGCCCCATGATCCCCTATTGCCCGGGGGCCCCATGAGTTGTCAGTCCGCCCCTGGACACAGAGTATCTTCAACAACTGCCACCTATGCACAACAAGTCCATAGCTTTTCCGTGGGATGCATGTAGGGCAACTCATTCTTTTCAATGGGCTACCTATGTGCAAAAAATGTTAGAGGCTTTGTTCACACCATTGGCGTGTGCACGGTTCTTGGCGTCACATGTAGGATAGCCCACTGATTTCAAAGCATGAGAAATGCTCATAAGAAGTTCCAGACCCTTTGGAGAAATTGGTGCTACGGCATGATGGGCTTTGGCCTGACCGTTCACAGATACAAAGGGGGTGCCGTTAAGAAATGGGCTGCCCTTGGCATAGGGGTGTCATTAAGAAATGTGTTGCCCTTGCCATAAGGGTGTCATTAAGAAATGCATTGCCCTTGGCATAGGGGTGTCATGAAGAAATGCATTGCCCTTGGCATAGCGGTGTCATTGAGAAATGCATTGCCCTTAGCATAGGGGTGTCATTAAGAAATGCATTGCCCTTGGCATAGGGGTGTCATTAAGAAATGCATTGCCTTGCCTTTTGCATAAAATGCATTGCCCTTGGCATAGGGGTGTCATTAAGAGATGCATTGCCCTTGGCATAGGGGTGTCATTAAGAAATGCATTGCCCTTGGCATAGGGGTGTCATTAAGAAATGCATTGTGCCCTTGGCATAGGGGTGTCATTAAGAAATGCGTTGCTTTTTTGCAGATGTGCAGCTGTAACAAAAGGGCAACGCGTTTCTGTGTGCTGCGGAAAAACATGCAATTTTGCACACGTTCCCACGATGCTGAAATGTGGACATAGCCTAAATGACTATGCACAAGGCTAAGGTACACTAATACAATAAACGTATTTTCTTTTTGAATGCAGAACTTTATATCTTTATTCACATTTGTTGCGAACAGGCGAGAAACTGCGTGATTTACTGCAACGCACAAAAGCACGCTGTTCTTTTACAGACACACGGCCTATGCAGAGAATAGAGCTGTGGGAGGGGCCAAGCAGGATCCCTGCTCTACAGGCTGCCTGCAGAAAACTACAGGAGGGGTGGAGACAAGACCAGTCACCCTGCAAAAAGTAGAGAGTGCAGCAGTGAGAGGTCTCCAAAATTCAAGCAATAATACACAGGATTAATAGACAATGTTTGCTTATCCGGGATTTCAGTTTTTAAGTGAGAGTCCCTTCAAAACCTGGCATTCAACTTCAAACACATGGAGTTTGCAGGTACCCTCACCATGTGGATGATCTTGGATCAAAGCCTCTGAAAATACAAGTTCAGTGGTCCCAAGCCCATCCTCTCCTTGAGCCCACTGCAGCCATACTCATTGGAGCAGAAAGAGGGAGGTTGCAGAACATGGTGACCAGAAGCTGTAGCCATATTTAGAAGCATTCTGAGAAGCCTGCTGCATCTGGATTCTCTGGACTTTTAATAAACTGACCAGGGCTTTACAACATTAGAGTAGTTGTAGTTCCAATAATTTATTGGTTACATGTTTAGTGGTTGATTTTACTGACTGCCAGGTAGTTCCCTTTAGCTTCCCATGCAGACTGCAGATCTTGTGTCCTTAGAACTGGGGAACAGATAAGAAGGGGAGGGGGGATAAGGGGGTCTACATACCCCCAGAGCATCTATGGCACCGCAGCTACTGCTGACAGTTGTTACACACAACAGAAGCACTACAGCTGCTGCTCCTGTCACTTGTCAGAACTCAAAGATAGGCAATGGCAGTTCCAAGGGAAGGAGGCTCTCCATATCTCTTCCCTGGCTCCAGGCACATGACATAAGGTAGATCTGTACTGGGGGGGATGTACCTGGGGGATGATCTGTGCTAGGTGCTAGTCATCCTGGGGGAGTTGATCTGTAAAGGGGGAGATCTATACTGGGGCTTTACTGGGGGGGGGGGAGTTTTTTACTGGGGGTAAGATCTGTACTGAGGGAGCTGTACTGAGAGTTAACCTATAATGGGGGGAGGGGTATCTGTGCTTGAGGGAGATTGGAGATTTCTTCTTGGGAAGAACTGGGAGACGAGATAGGGGGGGGGGCGCGGGGGTCTGTACTGTATGAGGGAATCATACTGGGCTGAGGATATCTGTACTGTGGGAAATTTTTAAATTAGTACTGGTGTGGGAGCTGTGCTGGGGGAAGGAGATCGGTACTTGGGGGGGGGGGGGATCTGTACTGGGGGGAGAGATTTGTACTGGGAGTGAAATCTGTACCGGGGGAGTTGTACTGGGAGGGAATTTATAGTTGGGGGGGGGGGCGTTATCTGTACTTGGGGAAAATTTGAGATTTCTCCTTGAGCAGAACTGGGAGATGTGATCTGTAATGGGGGAGATCTGTACTGCATGAGGGAATCCATACTAGAGGGAGAATATCTCTAATGGGGGTAAATTTCAAATTTGTACGGGGGTCAAAAGTGCACTGGGGGGAAGGAGATCTTTAATAGGGGGAGATATATACTTGGAGGGAGATCTGTACTGTAAGCAAGATCTGTACTGTGTGAGGAAATCTATACTGGTGGGAGGTTTATACTGGGGTGGAAACTGCACTGGGGAGGAGATCTGCAATGGGGGGAGATCTATACTGGGGGGGGGGGGTGATCTGTAATGGGGGAGATATGTACTTGGAGGGAGATCTGTACTGGAAGGAAGATCTGTACTGTGTGAGGAAATCTATACTGGTGGGAGGTTTGTACTGGGGTGGGAACTGCACTGGGGAGGAGATCTGCAATGGGGGGAGATCTATACTGGGGGGGCGTGATCTGTAATGGGGGAGATATGTACTTGGAGGGAGATCTGTACTGGAAGGAAGATCTGTACTGTGTGAGGAAATCTATAATGGTGGGAGGTTTTTACTGGGGTGGGAACTGCACTGGGGGGGAGATTTGTAATGGGGGGAGATCTATACTGGGGGGGTGATCTGTACTTGGAGGGAGAACTGTACTGGGAGGGAGAACTGTACTGGGGGAGATTTGAGATGGGTCCTGGGCAGGGGCGGACTGACAACTCATGGGGCCCCCAGGCAATAGGGGAACATGGGGCCCCTGTGTCCTTGCCCAAACTCAAAAAAGCCTATGAAAAAGGTACCAGGGGCATCTCATGGGGCCCCCTACTGACCCCGGGCCATCGGGCAGTGCCCGAGTTTCCAAATGGTCAGTCCGCCCCTGGTCCTGGGGGGGTTATTTGTACATGGGGGGGGGATCTGTACTGGAGGGAGGGGATCTGAGGTTGAACTCCCCCAAGGAAAAGTTTTCTACGGCCTTGCCATAGAATCTTCCCTGCTACGAAAAGACTCTAAAAATGTCAAACTTGCCATGTGGAAATGAGATAAATTTCAATCAGAAAACTAACAGGATCGGCTTGATGCTTCTGATTCCGGTCCTGTGATCAGAGGCTTTTACTGTGCCTCAGCTCATAGAGGGAGATATACAACTCCGGAATGTTCTACAGAACAAGTAATACTCTATATAGAAATGTCCTCTGAACTCATCCATTCATTTATCATGTTGATTACTATAAATAAGAATGTCTCCAGGTCTCACTCCTATTCATTGCCGACTTTACAGCGTCATGTACCCAGCAAGGACACATCTCTCATATATATATATTGTGGGCTGCTGAAGATGAAACTTACAGGGGACCAGTCATGGCAGCAATAATTGGATGGTTAAGGTTTCATGCATACTGAGTAACAGGGGTGGACTGACAACTCATGGGGCCCCCGGGCAATAGGGGATCATGGGGCCCCTGTGTGCTTGACCAAACTCAAAAAAACCTATGAAAAAGGTACCAGGGGCATCTCATGGGGGCCCCCTACTGACCCCGGGCCCTCGGGCAGTGCCCGAGTTTCCAAATGGTCAGTCCGCCCCAGCTGAGTAATTAGCCCCAGTGATTGAGATGTTGATGGAAGGCACAAGTACACGGTCCAGCCCCACAGCCAGCAGCCTGTAAAACTCTATGAAAGTCTGAAAGCTGCTGTAGCTGGATGGGGGCCCAGGGGATGAATGCCAAGAAAGAAGAGGTCCTGGGTGCATACTGTCCAATTTTCATGAAATAGTTTCATACTGTGTTTTTTGCATCCTTTTAATAACCTTCATGAGCGCCTGAACCTCTCCCCCCCCCCCCCCCTCACTTTTGGAAAGAGTAGTGTATTGCTCTATGCACACTACAAATCCCAAAGTCCCTAGTTCATCTCGGAAGTGAGAAAGAGAGGGTGGCTATGTTCCTACGTAGTGGGATCAAGAAAGGGTGCTCACATTCATACATACAGTGGGACCAAGAGAGGGTAGCTATGTTCCGACATATATTGGGACCAAGAGAGGATGGCTACATTCATACTCACAGTGGGACCAAGACAGGGTGAATACATTTTTACATACAGTGGGACCAAGACAGGATGGCTACATGCCTACATACAGTGAGACCAGGGGCGGACTGACCATTTGGAAACTCGGGTACTGCCCGAGGGCCCAGGGTCAGTAGGGGGCCCCATGAGATGCCCCTGTTACCTTTTTCATAGGCTTTTTTGAGTTTGGGCAAGGACACAGGGGCCCCATGATCCACTATTGCCCGGGGGCCCCATGAGTTGTCAGTCCGCCCCTGAGTGAGACCATGAGGGGGTAGCTACATTCCTGCATAGAATGGGACCAAGAGAGGATAGCTACATTCATACATACAGTGGGATCAAGAAAAGAGTGGCTACATTCCTACTCACAGTGGGACCAAGACAGGATGGCTGCATTCCTACATACATTGGGACCAAGAGGGGGTAGCTACATTCCTGCATAGATTGGGATCAAGAGAGGATGGCTACATTCATACATATAGTGGGATCAAGAAAAGAGTGACTACATTCCTACTTACAATGGAACCAAGACAGGGTGGCTACATTCCTACATACACTGGGATGAAAAGAGGATGGCTACATTAATACATACACATACAGTGAGACCAAGAGAAGGTAGCTACATTCCTACATGCAGCGGGACCAAGAGAGGGTGGCTACGTTCCTGCACACATTTGGACCAAGACAGAGTGGCTA